AAGAAGCCAGGGCCCAGGACCCCTGCCCCTCCCATGGCCCACCTGAAAGCCATGTCCAGATGCTCTGCCTTGCAATGTCAAGGGCTCGAACAACGGACCTCACAGTCCATTCTGGCCTCAAAGGGCTGCCTTTCCTCTGAGCAGATAAGACACGTCATTAGAGACCGCAAGCCTCTCTGCAGATCCCATCCCTTCAAGGGAAGGGCAGGGGGAGGAATCTAGATCTATCTAGAGAATAGACATAGCTCTTGCTCCCATGGAATTCACATCCTAGTTAGAGAAGATACATAATAAACAAGTAAACAAACATAGGCCTCCTAGAGATAAATGCTTTGAAATAAAATCAAACGGGTTAAGGAGCAAGTGTCTGAGCTGGTGGGAGGTATGATTGTAGATACGATGGCCAGAGAAATCTCTAAGGACAGGACATTTGAGCAGAGACCTGATTGAAACAAGAGAATGACTCCTGTGGGGGAAGAGCATTCCAGCAGAGGAACAGCATGTGCAAAGGCCCCGAGACAAGAGGACCTGATGTTTGAGGCACAGCAACGAGAACGATGAGGCTATGAGTCAGCAGAAGGCGAGTATTGGAAAAAGATATCAAAGAGGCAACAGGGGCAGAATAAAGCCTTCTAGGCAGTTGTGAGGGGTAAAATATACCAGAAAGTTCTGAGCAAAAGAAGATCTAATTTTTTGTGTGTTTTTTTTTAAGACGTCCTTTACGTACGATAGAATTCATCCTTGTTAGTCTAGAGGCCTGCCAATTTTGACAACTGTGTACCAACAAGCGATCATAGCCCCATCACCCCCCAAAAGACTCTCTTGCTATTAACAGCCTTCCCCACACCCACCTAATCTGTTTCTGTCCCCACAGTTTTGCTTCTCCCAGGAAGGCGTAGAAATGGAACAATATAGTAGGCGCTTTCTTGAGGCTGAAGTCTTTCACTTAGCATAACTCATTAGAGATTCATCCACACTGGCACACGGAACTCTTTATTGCTGACGAGCACGCCACGTACGGACGTACGATGGTTTGTCCACCCGTTCACCAGCTGAGGAACATTGACGTTGTTCCCATTTTGGGCGATCACAAATAAAGCTTCTACAAACATTTGCGTACAGGTGTTTACACGCCCATAGCCTTTCACAAATTTCTTCTGACAAAGACAGGGAGTAAATTCACTCTCCCCTCTGAAACGACTCAAAAGCTGGGGAAGTGATACACAGAACGGCTTTCAGACGTGGGACACGAGGCAACACAGGACAGTGAGCCCTGAGAGAGGTGCACCCTACGGTACAGGAGGGGGGCCCGGGCACAGCCTGGCAACCTCCAGGAGTCAAGGAGATGGGGGTAGGAAGCAGGTAGGGCTCACCTCGGAAAGTCCTGGAGCAGAGAGAGCTTCACGGCGAGAACTCTGGAGACCCACAGAGGGTCCCCTGGGGGTCTTTGGCTTCTAATGGGGGCCGCGTGTGTGAGGATATCACCTGGGACTGAGAAAGACCCACCGGAGAGGGGTGGCGAGAATGATCTGGAGCTCACACCGGCCCAGAATAGAAACATGGCCACCAACTGGCATGGGAAAACTTTGTAATTCATGGGAGATGGGAAGGGTATTGAAAGGGTACTGCCTCAGTAGTGGGGCGAGATCACCCCGAGATGAAAGGCTGCCCCGTCAGCCCCAGGGTCCTCACCCCCCTGCCTTTCTGGTGGTTCTTGCCCTGGCTTCACGTGGTCTGCTCCCACACCCCACCATGAGTATCAGCTGAGGACTCAAGAGGACCGAGGGCGGGTACCCGGCCCTGTGAATCCTAATTGCCTTCACCTTCCAGTTTCTCAGCGCCTCTCATCAACTCAGAGAAACACCGGGCTTGGCCGAAATTCCCCTCCCTGCACTGCAGCCTGGAAATCCTCTCCAGGCTGTAAGCTTGGCCAATAAATAGTAGGGCCACCTCGCCTGTTTGTCCCTCTCGGGAGTCACCGTCTTCCAATCCCTGTTGTCCTACCTCTGAAAACCACCATATCATAAACTCTTTCCAGTGTTGCAGCCGTTTGAGGTCCAAAGGTACAGGGTCCCCAAGTCTCTATCTTGTCTGGAAGCACAGATGACATTATCTCAATTTGTGCCGAAAGGACCACTCGAGAGGGCAGATCAAGGACAAACAAGGACGGAAGGAGGAAGAGCGGTGAGAAAGGTACTGTAGTGATGCAGGTGAGAGGCAACGGTGGCCTGGTCCCGGATTGCACGGATGGCTGTGGTGACAGGCAATTGAGTTCAGGATGTGTTCTGAACATAGAGCTGATGCGATCTGCTGATAAAAGGGTTTCAGGTGTGAGAAAAAAAAAGTACGGAGTCATAGTAGACTCGACTCTGTTGGGTCCAAACACACACACACGACCCCCAATTCCTTCCCAGCCTGGCCTTATGCCCAGCAGAAACTTCTGAAGTCAGGAACGCCTGGGTAATCCATCCATGTTCAGGATAGTTCAAGATCAACAATATGGAATGTGCATGGGCAGAGGTACAAGCCACAGCTCCCTTCCTCTCCACCGCTAGAGAGCCTGTCCCCTGGAACAGCCAGCTGGAGGGACCAGCCAAGCAAAGCCCGACCAGAATCATCACCAAGGTCATCAGTCCAGGGAGGGCCCTGGCAGTGATTCCAGTGTTAAAGGGCCAGCTTTCCAACTTCCCTATGAATGAACGTGCCCCACGTTCTTAGACATTTTCCACGTATGATCATACCAGGGCAGGTAACATTTCAGACCAGGAGACCGGGGCTCGGGAGGTAAAGGAACCTGTCCCCATTACAGCTGGCAGGTAATAAAACCGGAACCCAACTCCCCAAAAGCCAAGAATGGAAGCCCCAAGCCGTTTCTATTAAACATAATTTTTATTTCATCCAAGGCAAAGCTAAATAAAGTTCTACAATGCCAAACGTGGTATAAAGGCAAGAGAGTTGATTGCATCCATCATTCTGTGCTTGAACACAAGTCATGGCTGGGGGTGTGCATATCCGTGCCTCCCAGAGGCACCCACGGACCAGAGGCCTCCCGGACCCATCGCGGCACTGTTTTGATCTATAGTTATATTTAAAGAGTTGACTATGGGTATTGTCATCCAAGCCAGAGGAATAAACCATGCATAAGAGTGTCAAAAGCTCTGAATATCAGGTGGGAGGGGAGGGACTCCAACCCGGGACAGAGTAAGGTGAAGCAAGCTGTAGGATTTTCTCGAGAAGTTCCCCTCCTTGCCCTCCCCACCCACCCCATCCCCCCACTCCCAACACTCATGGCAGCTGCCTGCGACCGTGGGAGGGAGTCAGGGGGTAATGGGGCCCAGAAGCATGGCTGCTCTTCCCCTCTGTCTCTTATCCTCTCAGCCTCCAGGTGGCCCGACAGCTATAGCCCAGGCCAGGAAAGATGACTCCCCAAATGTGCCGAGTCTCCCCCCATCTCAGGCACACTCAGCCTTCACACAGGCCTCCTACACAACCGCGCTTCCGTGCACAGCCCCTCCCCCCCCCCAACTCGACGGGCACATCCTCACCTGCCACCATCTCAGGAGCACGCTTTCACACCCCTCCCTTCACACCCCAGCTCTGGTCAGCCAGCCAGGAGGGAAAAGCCTGCGCTCCGTCGGCCCCTCTCCCAGACCACTCTAGCCTTACAGGTTCATTCTGGCGGCCTTTTGCTCAATTCCGGCCCAGGGAGAGACGCAAGGCCTAGAATGCTGAGGTCCTCGTTTGAGGCCAAGGATGGGGAATTGGAAGAGACTCTCGTGTTGGGTCTCGCGGACTTTACTGTGGGCACAGCTGCGTGCCTCCAGGGCTCCCAACCCTAACTCTGTGAATGGCTCTCTCTAGCCCAAGAGCCCTGGAGACACCCTCACCAGCCCCTGCGCATCACCCTCTGAGATCTGCGCGCACTGACGGACGGCCTGGGAACATGGCTTTGCCCGTCTACATTCTATGGCAAACCCATGCCAGTGTGCCTCCCGGGTGCCCTCCCAGCGCTGGGGCAGAACATTCTCTGTTGCGGGGACAAAGTTGAGCACTCTTAGTCCCCATTCGCTCAATGCCCGTAGTGCCCCCAGGCACCGGGGCAACCCAGAGTGTCCCCCTCGGGTCCCCATTCTACCCCCTCTATTGAAAACTCCCAAACAGAAGCCGTGGATAAGAAGCTTCAAGCATCAGAGCCAAGGTTTCTAATATTGCAGAGACTAAAATAATTCCAAGGGGGAGGAGTGGGAAGAGAGCGAGAGTGGGTGAGAAAGAGAAAGTGCATGCGTGCGTGTGCATCGATGTGGGTCTGTGTCTGTCTCGTGGGGAAGGGACACAGAGGTGAGGACACGACAGGCTTGGAACGACTCCTCCAATGATAAGGCCTGGCCTCCTAGATCCCTTTCCAAGCCAAAGAGATTTTTTTAAACAAAAACCCGTCAAGCCTCACAACAGTCCTGGGAGGTAGGTAAGTATTATTACACCCACTTTATAGACGGGAAAAGCGGAGCCCAGAGCAGATGCGTGACCACCTATCAGTCAGCAGTAGACCCCGGAGCGGACAGGATGATGCTCTCCCCCCACCACCCCCCTGCTCTGGAAACCCTGGCCTCCTCTGAAGAGAGTAAGAGGAATCCCAACCGATTCGGATTCAGCTCGTTCAAATGTTGAAACCGGGAAGGAGAAGCAAGCAGCTTTCACGAAGGTGGCCACAAGAAGTTTTCCAAAAGGCTGGCAGTCTGTGTGTTCGCAAAGCCGCAAAAATCTGAGCCCAAGCCTAGAGTTCTGGGGGGCCAAGGATGGGAGCCCTAGAGGCAGATCAGAGTGGGACCCTGTAAACCCGTCAGGTGGGGTGAGGCCCACGGGTCACAGCCAGGCACCTGTTATTCAGCGCCCCCACCTCCACCCTGGGGGCAGCCCGCGGCCGCTTTTGGATAGGGAGAATCCGGTGGCAGCCCCCTAACCCCTGGGGAAGGGGGCTACTCTCATCCTATCCCTCCCAGGCCCAGAGGACAGAGCGCCAGAGAGGGGGCGAGCGGGAACAGATTGTGGAGGCCTCCCCTAACCGCACACGGCTCTCTTCACCCCTCCTCCCGCCGCATGGGGACACCACCGCTGAATTCCCTGTCAGGGACCCCGACAGTTCCATGATCCCATCACTGTCCAAGGGGCCACTGGTGGGCCCCCTCAGCTCCCTGGTCCCCAGCACGGTCTTGGGAGGAAGCAGCACTACACCAGAGGTGACCATCACGTCCAGGCCGGAGAGGGGACAGAGGGGATGAGCCAGGACATGAGGAGCTAAGGCACAGTCCAGCCCCACACACAGGGACGTGCAAACCAGTTCTTAGAGAAGCAGGGAAGACTGCGAGAACTCTCTCCCTGCCCCTCCCCCACCCTCGGGGGGGGGGCGAGGGGGGAGGGTGGCACAGCTGAACGGGAAGCAGCCGGGAAACCCAAGGGCCCTCTCTTCCAAAGCGAGAGGATCCCTGAGGTGAAAGCAAGCCTTGACCCCAGGTTGGAGGTGAACAACCCGGGGCCAGGGGAGAAGGTGTGATGGACGGCACGGGGGCACGGGTGGGGGAGCGAGCCCACGGGAAGGGAGGGTCTGAGAGTGCAACACCTCAAGCAAGATGACGCCACCTGCCGCATCAGGGAAAGAGGAGCAGAGGGGAGCCAAGCTCGGGAGTTCCCAGGGGCGGCCATGGTCCCGCCATGCCGAGGAGAAGGGGCAGCCAGCACTGGTGGGGCCGGGGTGGGCATCCCAGTGTGGCCGAGGGGCCCTGGACACCGGCTCGCCCACGTCCGCAGTGCTGGTTCCCCGAGAAGAAGTGCTAGGAAAGGCTTCAGTAGCACCCCCAGTGCTCCAGGAAGGCCGGGACCCCCCCCTCCAAGACCAAGATGGTCAGCCCCAGTTGGGAAGGTTCACAGACTCCAAGCAGCAGTGGGGGACGGGGGGTCTGGGGGGGTGGAGATGGGGCAGGGGCTGTGGGACACCCTGTGGAGGGGAGGCAGCGCCTCCCCAGAGGGACCTGGCGGGTCAGGTGTCCATCAAAGCCACTCACGGTAGCCACCCCCCCCCCCCCGCCAGCAGGCTCCCACCCCCGACCCTGAACAGAGGCCTGTAGGCCACAGCCACCGCAGAAAGGGCTAGATCTCCACGTTATTGTTCACTTGGGTCCAGCTACCGGGGCAGCCCTCACTGATCACCCCCCCAAGCCTCTCTTAAAGAGAAATCTGGAGGAAAACCAAGGTGTTGCTCATACAGGGTGGGGAGACTGAAGAAGACCGCATGTATCCAGGTGTCGGGGGACCCACCTTCCACACCGCCGAGCCCTCCTTTCCTTTCCTGAACTTTCCACAGGCCCCCTCCCCTGGCCGGCCCTCATCCCTGGGGAGCCCCGGCTGGGAGGGGGCAGGCAGGCTGGCCAGGACCCCGGTTTCTCCCCAGAAAGACTACAGCTGGAGCCAAGCAGCAGGTGTCTCAGGCACGTGGGTTCACGGATACGGCTCAAGCATCAGTTCCATCATCAGAAAGTGAGGCCCCCGGCGGCTGCTCGGCCCCCAGCAAGGGCTCACACTTTGGTTGGTGCTTTCTCTTCTGCCTTAGAGCCAGGTAACCCATTCTCTGTGTTATCATTCCCTGAGGAACTCATGAGGCACTCTTTCCTGGAGAGGGAGAGAGCAGGAGAGGGCACTGGTGAGGTGGTGAGGACAGGAGCAAGAGTAAGGGGTCAGCTCCGGAGAGAAGCGGTGGGCCCCACAACCCGCCCCAGGCCCTCTCTCTGGCCTTCTGGAGGGCAAAGGTGGCGAGAGGTCAAGTCATCTAACCTCTCTGGGCCTCAGTTTCCTCATCTATAAAATGGACGTAACGATGACACCTTCTTCGTGGGGGTGCCACAAGGCATCAGCGAGCACCTGGAACAGTGCCTGCCACGTGGACAGGACCCGGTAAGGCTCACCGTCACCTAGTCGCCCCCAACGTGGCAAAAGGCAAGAAAGAGTACCAGGCGCTGTTCCCAGGGGCCAGGGCTCCGGGGAAGCCAAGCCAGGTTAATTCCCAGGCTGGGCCAGCCCAGGGGAAGGGTCCAGGCCAGCGGGCAGTACGTCAAGGACAAAGAGCTCCTCCCCAGGCCCCCGGCAGGCCCTTCAAGGCTCCCTGAGCCGGCTGTGAGCAGAGGTGGAGGAACACTCACGGAAGAGGGGGAGAGACAGAGCAGGGCATCGAGGGCGGCAGGTGTGGACAGAGTATGGCGGGATGGGGAGACGGCAGGAGGAAGGAGAGATGGTTACAGGGGAAGACATCCCCCAGGAGTGCCACCACCCTGCCTGCCCAGAACTGGCCATGTTCCAGGGTAAGAATGTCCCACCTCAAAACAATTAAAAAATAAAAGGGATGGGGGGGGGGCCTGGATGGCTCAGTCAGTTAAGCGTCCGACTTCGGCTCAGGTCACGATCGCCTGGTTGGTGATTGAGCCCGTGTCGGGCTCCCAGGCGCTGATAAACTCAGCGCCCGAGCCTGCTTGATTCGTCTCCCTCTCTCTGCCCTCCCCTGCTCGTGCTCTGTCTCTCTCTCTTTCTCAAAAAGAAACAAACATTAAAAAAAAAAAAAAAGAATGCCCCACCTCAATGTTCGGCATTGCAGTTGCCTACGGCTCTCCAGAGAAGCCCTGACCTTCACATCACTCCCGAGCTCTCTGCTTGTGAAAAGCTTCCGAGGCTTTTTCATGGCTGCTGTGGCCACAGATCTCATCTTCTGCCCCAGCTCACTGGACTTGCCAGGCTTCGGCCAGCAGGCCTTCGGGAAGGACTTGCTATTTTGTCCTCATCGGTTTCGGTCACTTTGCAAAATTTACTCCAGAGCTGCAGCCTCTCGAGCTCCTCCTAGATCCCAATTCTGTTCTCTAATAGTCACTTCACCGGTTCCCGAAATTTGATATTCTTGGTGTCACTCAAATCCTAGTAACAATGAATAAGCAGGGCCCGGTGGCATACCACTAAAGACCCCTGTGCAGATGAATCTAGCTGTCTACCTGTCTGTCTATCTGTCTGTCTGTCTACCTGCCACTATCCCTATGCCTATGGCCAACCCAGACAACCACCCATCTAATTGTACTCCCAAGCACTCCCAGATTTCTTTTGAAAATCTACCGGTACCCAGCTGTGTCAGACTAGCAGGCGCTGAGCGCTTGCTCTCAGGACATTTGCAGTCTTCCAGAGAATGAGCATTAAACACATGGCCCCAACACTGTGGGGTGAAGGGTGTGCCAGGAGGGAAGCTTCTCTCAGAGCCTCCTCCTAGGGATGGGGAGGGCTCTGGACATGTCGCAGGAAGTTGAGTCCAACAAAGATGAGCAGGAAAAAGGGAGGAGACATTCCAGGCAAAAGGAACAGCGCCTTTGAGGAGAAGCCCAGAATTGATCCCAAGATGATGCTGTCCCAGTCTTACGCTTCTCCTCCGGAAGCCACCCCATCTCTGCTGTTAATGCAGGCTTTCCTGCACTCACAGTACCCTTTGCAGGCTTCCCCGGGGTCTGAATCCCACCTCCAGCCTCCCTCCCACCCAGTCCCTGTGCTCACCGAGGCTTCATACAGACCCATTCTTCCAAAGCCCTCTGATCATGCCAGGCCCTGAGAGCTCTCACAGGCTCCAATGCAGCCAGAAGGAAAACCGATCTCAACCCGGACTCCCAGGTCTCTACCCAGCAGCCCCTCTGTGGTTTCTCTCCTTCCCCCCCCTGGCCTCACCACACGCCCCGCTCTCCCAACAAACAAAATGCCTTGTTCTTCAGACACATCCCTCCTCCCAGACTGTCCTCTTCTGCTCTCAGCAGTTCTGGAACACCCTTCTCCGGACCCTCCCCAGGGCTTAAATTATATCCATCTTGCAAGGCCTATCACAAATGTCCCTTTGGCCAGAAATCCTTCCCTGGTGTTCCACCCTCTCCTGAACCCCTGGAGCATTCTACTGCACCTCTGGGTGCAGTGTTATCATCTGCAGCAACCTCTTGATTTATCAGCACCCTAGCAAGAAAACATTTGGTCTGCCTTGTCCTTGAGGAACCCATGGTGGTCCCCGAGAACCACTGTTTTCTTTTCTAAGTGCTCTGAAACCATATGCTGAACAGTCCGTTCTCCAATTTTGCTAACCGTCAACAGCAAAACTGGTTATTAAAAACAAACTGTGGTCCAACTCCATGCTCCTGGTCCCTCTCCAAACGCTCCAAAACCCTGGTCATGATGCAGGGAGACAATCCAAGATTTCTTCATCCCCGCCAGTGCGGGAGGTGATACCCCGAGCCTCCCGCTCTCTACCCCTCCCTTCTTACCAGTACAGTTTCTGCCCTTTCCAACCTAACTCCCTCTTCTCAACAAAGCGGAATGTCGAGGGGCGCCTGGGTGGCGCAGTCGGTTAAGCGTCCGACTTCAGCCAGGTCACGATCTCGCGGTCCGTGAGTTCGAGCCCCGCGTCGGGCTCTGGGCTGATGGCTCGGAGCCTGGAGCCTGTTTCCGATTCTGTGTCTCCCTCTCTCTCTCTGCCCCTCCCCCGTTCATGCTCTGTCTCTCTCTGTCCCAAAAATAAATAAAACGTTGAAAAAAAAATTAAAAAAAAAAAAAAAAGCGGAATGTCGGGAAGAGAAGCAGAGCAGCTCTGGGGCGCCTGGGTGGCTCAGACCGTTAAGCATCCAACTTGAGCTCAGGTCATGACCTCTCGGTTCATGGGTTCGAGCCCCACATTCCAAATGCCTTTTCACATTCTCCTGTTCAGGAGCCCGACACAGTTCTGGCAATTCCGGGCCCCGGGGCTGGGCCCCTGCTCTCTCTCCCTCCCCATCCGTCTTAAACCTGAGCTCGCCCTGGGGTTTCCGGCAAGGCCCTATCGGCCTTCTTAGATTTTAGTCTCCCCCGTGTGAACTTTCAGAATAAGGGTCTTCCCATTTTAGAGTTTCTGTACACGGAATCTCTCATTTTCTGTGATTCGACAAAGCAGGCGTCGTCAGTCCTCTGGTAAGACTTAGGCTGGGGAGGTGCACATGGAAGGAGAGGAGCTAACAGGACGGACAGGAAGACAGCTAGAGGAGAAAGAGCAGGCAGGTTGCATCCGTGTACTCCGGGAACTCAATAAACTCCTCCAGGAGGGAGAGGAAGAGGGGCTGCGAGGCGGGAGGAGAGGCGCAGGGATGGGAAGGAGGGGTAGGAGTGGGAAGCGAGGACGGGGTGAGGGGACACGTGGAAGGATGCAGGCGGACGGGGGCAGATGGCAGTGGGATGAGACAACGCCGGGCACACCCCCACGGGAGGAGACGGGACGGGGTGGCGGGCCCGTGGCGGGGACAGGAGCCAACTCACTTTTTCTCCTGAGTCTTCTTGATGACGAAGGCGATGAATTTCTTGAGCAACAAAATGCAGATGAGGAGTCCGATGACCCCGCCCACGACGCTCAAGATGATGAGGGTCACTGTGTTGTCCACTTCTTCCACTGCACGGCCAGAGCAGGGAGAGGAGGGGGTGGGTGAGGGGAGCGGGAGTCACCTGGAGCCTGGCATTACGGCAGCCCGGCGGCTACAGCCCTCCAACCTCGGGTCCGCGGCCCTCCCCAGGCCTTGCGGCGGGAAGTAGAAGCTGGAACATGGCGTCCACCGGGCTAAGGCACAACATGAAGGGGGCCCTCCCCCGGCCCCCTCCGTGCACACACCCTCTCACAGACACACACACCGTTCTGGAATAATCCAGACGCGGGGCCACAGCGGCTTTTGACCCCCAAATTGCCACATCGAATGTCATTGCTTCTCTCTGGGCCTCTTTTGTCCGTGCAGGAAAAATGAAGCATCTCCCTCTAACGACTTCTATGTGGCAGGAAGTCTTCAGGGTCAGGTCGTCCGGATTTGAACTACAGGATTTCAACAGTCACTAACGAGCTGGTAACTGGAGCTGGTCACTAACCCTTCTACCTCGGTTGCCTCATCTGAACTCCTGACGTCCGGAACCCCCTCCACTCCCTGCACCCCGACCTCCGTCGAGAAAATTCCACCCTTCCGGTCGTTTTGGCCAAAATGCTCGCAGTCATCCTTGACCCCTCCCTTCTCCAAACCCCCCATCCCATTCACCTGAGAATCCTGATGGCCCTAACTTAAAAATCCCAGAATCTGACCTCTCAGTGCCACACTGGCCCAAGACATCCTGGCCTGGATGTTTGCAGGAGCCTCTTAACCAGACTCCTTACTTCATCGTCTATTCTTGGCCCTGCAGAGAGCTTGTTCCAGGTTAACTCTTCTGCTCAGAGCTCTTTAGTGGCTCCGTCTCCCTCAGGCGTGCAAGGCCCCACACAATATGGCTTAATCCGACTCATTTCTATTTGCTCCGCTCCAGCCACAGTGGCCTCTCTCTCTTTTTTTTGTTTTTCTTCCCAGCCACAGTGCTCTCTTTGATGTTCAGGTATCTGCCTCAGGGCCTTTGCCCTTGCTGTTCCCTCCGCCTAGACTATCTTCCCAAAGATATCCCCATTGCTTCCTCAAATGTCCTTCTTCTCTGTTGCCTTTTTGGTGCGGCCTTCCCCTCTTTCCTTCCCCATTTTGCTTTTTCTTCACAACACCAGCTATGTTCTCTTCGACGACATCATTTTCTTCTTTGTTTTGTTTACTATATGTCTCCCCCGACTGGAAGGACATCTCCAGAAGGGCGGAACTTTGTCTACCTTGTTCATGCTGTATCTTCGGCACCCAGAACAACGTCTACCACACGCTAGGTACTCGATAACTATCGCTGAATAGATGAATGAAGGAGTCTATAAAAATGGAGAAAAAATCCCTTCAAAGGGACGTGTGAGGATCAAAGGCGCGAAGGTAAGACACAGCGCCTAACTCAGGGTCTGGCACCCAGAAATGCTCCATAAATGTGGCTTCCCTGCCTCTCCTCTTCCCTCATGGAAAGGCTGCGCACAAAGTGGGATAACATCCAAACATAGTAGAAGAGGTGATGCTCTACACAGCGTTGACCCAGATGGCTCCAGGCTCATGGCGAGCTGCCTGGATGGCCGCTGGCTCTGCCCCTGACACGGCCAACAGTGAACCCATGGGCCTCTCTCTCTCCAGGCCCCACATCATCCAGGAGGGCAGTGAACCCCCAGGAACACAAGAAATGCAGCACAAGCAGGATCCTTGATCAGCTTCCCTCCCTTTTTTTCTCTGCTTCTGTGCCTCCTTAGCCTGGCAGACGCCCCATCCACGAAGCCCAGCCTAACACCTCCAGCCCCTTCTCTAACCACTTCTAGCGCCTGGAGTCATGTGACCACCTGGCTCCTCATCACCGGCTTCTTCACCCCCAATCCTTCCATCCGTGCCAGACGGCAACCCCCAACTGGGGTTTAAGCTCCAGAGGGGAGCAACCGTTCTTATCAATCTCAGTTGCCTGTGCCTCTCCACGCTCCACCCCTACTTCAGTTCTCTGCTCACCTGTCTTCTGTCCTACCCTGAACTCCAAATTCCTCAAGGAAGAACACTGTGGATCAGTCGTAGCCCTTTTGGTTGGATACCTGGCATGCGACCAACAGTTGCTAAGGGAATCCACAAGAGCAGTAATAATCGGCACACCCCAAGAACTTCCCCGCCACAAAACACTCCTAGCTCGCGTCTCTACTTCTCACGGGTACCCTAGGAGAATGCAGATTCTACAGATGAGGGAAAGCGGCTCAGAGGAGCGAAATGTATATCACGGGCTATTCAGCAGCAGAATTCAGTCTTCCTGCTCAGTTATTTGAGCTTCCAGATGTGACTCCAGTAACTCTCGAGAGCATAAAACAAAAGAAAACACCAGTGGGGTCCATTTTGCCATTTCACCGTAACACTGAGTGGGCTATCCCTTGTCCCAGCCCCCACTGCTTACGTTTATCAACGACTTGGAGGGTGATGGTGGCCTGGTGATGAATATTTTTCTCCTTGGGGTTCCTCACATGACAGGTGTATTTGCCCGTGTCGCTGAATTCTAGGTTCCTCAGCAGAATGGAAATGTTGTTCATCTTCTCCTTAGTGGAGCCCTCCAGAGTGATGCGGTCATCGTCTTTTGACTTCACCTTGGGGTCAGACTTCTCATTCTTCACTGTCCCATCTATGATCTATAGGGGGAAGGAGGTGGGGAAGAGATGGCCGAGAAAGAATCAGAGTCCTCAGAAGTCATGGCATCACTTCAAGCCCATCCCTTAGGTGCCTCCCTGCCCAGGTCCAGAAAGAGCCTGCCGCCAGAGACGCTCCCCCCCACTTGGTTTCCTCCCAATATCGATGACTCTGCCTGTCTAACCTGAATTTTGCTTGCTTCACACTAAACCCATTTTCTGTCATTAAGGTCTCCCTGGAACGCAGCACAGCTTTTACTGCTTTCTTCTTAAAAGCCTTTCACATAATGACTCCGGCGAATCCCACACTCATTTCCCTCTGTCAACACCCCCCACCCCGGCCTTTGCTGACACCTTGTCCCCTGTCCATCTGAATTCTGGCCCTCCGTCAAGACCTGGATCAGTCCCAATCCTACGGCACCGTTCATCAACAGCCTCTGAGTTCGGCGTTTAATTACATCCAGAGTTGGTCTCTTGTGGCTTCCTTACTTACACCTTGGGACCCCTACCGGACCGTGCGGTGACTCCTCCCTAAGCCCCTGTTGACTGATCCACCCCGCCCCCAGCCCACAGCCCTGCCAGATACTCCTGGAGAGCTTCCTCTTCCCTCCCTTCAGGTACAGCTCCCCAGCCCTTCCAGAGGTCTTTTCTCTCTCCCGTTTTTTAACTTATTTTCACACAAGCAATCCAAGTTTCAGGTATTCCTTCAGACCAGACAAGGACTCTAGCCAAGAATTCCAACAAATCCCCCAATTCTGGAAACACAGTCTAAGCATTCCTCCCACTTGGATCTTTCTGGACAGCTCTGGGAAGAATGCTAGGAGCAAGGGTGACAGAAGGTGGATTCTGGGGACCATTGCAGCGATGTCAGTCCAGAAGGGACCAGACCAGGGGAACGGGAGGCAGGGGTAAGGCACAGGGAGCTGAGCTGTCCCCTCCCCTCCCCCCCACGACTTACAATCCTGAATGTGTCACTGCTGTTGTACGACCACCAGAAGTAGAGGTCCTGGAAGCCAAAGCAGCTGGAGAACGTGCAGGGCAGCAAGATCTCCGTGCCGTTGACGGCGTAGATGGTGGTGGCTTTTCCCACGGACACCTCCAGCGACAGGGACATGGGGAGCAGGAAGAGACCTGTGTGAGAGACACCACCCCCCTTAATAAAACCCCACGGGAATCCCCAGCCTGGAGCTCTGGAAGAGGACACTCGGGCAGGGAGGAGTGGCTTGGCCGGGCAGGGAGGTCTCTGTCACCCTCGGTATCAACTTGGGGAGGACGGTCCTCTTCACTGCAGCTCACACTGCCTGAGCCACCCGCCCTCATTCATTTCTCCCGCCTGGCCCGGGCCGGTGAGCCGCCCTTGCGGCGCACGGAATGACCACCAGGGGTCACCCCAACCCAAGAAAAAGGGGCCCTCGCCGCGAGTCGGCGCCCCCTAACCCGCGGGGCAGTCCCTGAAAGTGCCATTCCGGCACCCCGCAGGTGCCGGACGGGCTCGGCCTATTGGCGGTGGGAATGGCCCCCTCGTTACATTTCCCGGATTGGGGGGTGGGGACGAGGCGAGGTCCCACGCGGGGAAGATGGGAAAATGGGCAAACCCAGTCCCCGACACCGCGCAGCGGCCTCTTCGTCCTGAGCCCTGGACACTCGCACCGGCCCCCAGGGGCTGAGAGGCTGAGGGCCACCTCCCGCCGGACCGTGCCTGCCGGGCCGGGTCCCACGGCCCCTGGACACCTGCCGGATCCTGAGAACAGGAGGAAGGCG